GTAGTAGTAGTAGTAGCAGTAGTACAGTCACCGTAGTAGTATGGGCATTAGTTTTTCCCAACCATCCTGTGGTTCTGGGTCATCGTTTTGAAGAGACGGTGCTCCCGCTGCCTCCTCCCTCCTCCCTCCTCCCCCTCCTTTCCTTTGCTCTCGGCACACCCCTTGCACGCTTCGTAGCCCCATAGGGAGCTCCACCGAAGGCCCCAGTGGCTGCTCTCGCATGCGGTTCCCCCACCCAGGGCAGCGTTTCGTGGCCCCACAGGGAGCTCCACCGAAGGCCCCAGTGGCTGCTCTCGCATGCGGTTCCCCCACCCAGGGCAGTGTTTCGTGGCCCCACATAGAGCCCCACCGAAGGCCCCAGTGGCTGCTCTCGCATGCGGTTCCCCCGCCCAGGGCAGCGCTTCGTGGCGCCATAGGGAGCTCCACCGAATGCTCCAGGGGTTGCTTTCGCATGCGGTTCCCCCACACAGGGCGGCGCTTCGTGGCCCCATAGTGAGCTCCACCGAAGGCTCCTGTGGCGCAGTTCGCAGGCGGCTCCCCCGCACAAGGCAGCGTTTCGTGGCACCATCGGTAGCCCCACGGAATGCCCCAGTGGCTGCTCTCGCATGCGGTTCCCCCCCCCCCCCCCAGGGCAGCTTTTTTCGTGACCCCATAGGGATCTCCACCGAAGGCCCCAGTGGCTGCTCTCGCATGCGGTTCCCCCACTCACGGCAGCGTTTCGTTGCCCCATAGGGCGCTCCACCGAAGGCACCAGTGGCTGCTCTCGCGTGCGGTTCCCCCACCCAGGGCAGCGTTTCATGGCCCCATAGGGAGCTCCACCGAAGGCCCCAGTGGCTGCTCTCGCATGCGGTTCCCCCACCCACGGCAGCGTTTCGTGGCCCCACAGGGAGCAGCACCGAAGGCCCCAGTGGCTGCTCTCGCATGCGGTTCCCCCGCCCAGGGCGACGTTTCGTGGCCGTATAGGGAGCTCCACCGAAGGCCCCAGTGGCTGCTCTCGCATGCGGTTCCCCCACCCAGGGCAGCGTTTCGTGGCCCCACCAGGGAGCTCCACCGAAGGCCCCAGCGGCTGCTCTCGCATGCGGTTCCCCCACCCAGGGCAGCGTTTCGTGGCCCCGTAGGGAGCTCCACCGAAGGCACCCGTGGGCGCAGTTCGCATGCGGTTCCCCCACCCAGGGCAGCGTTTCGTTGCCCCGTAGGGAGTTCCACCGACGGCCCCAGTGGCGCAGTTCGCATGCGGTTCCCCCACACAGGGCGGCGCTTCGTGGCCCCATAAGGGGGCTCCACCGAAGGCACCCGTGGCGCAGTTCGCATGCGGTTCCCCCACCCAGGGCAGCGTTTCGTTGCCCCGTAGGGAGTTCCACCGACGGCCCCAGTGGCGCAGTTCGCATGCGGTTCCCCCACCCAGGGCAATGCTTTGTGGCACCATGGGGAGCTCCACCGAAGGCCCCAGTGGCGGAGTTCACATGCAGTTCCCCCACCCAGGGCAGCGGTTCGTGGCCCCATAGGGAACTCCACCGGAGGCCCTCGTGGCGCAGTTCGCATGCGTCTCCCCCACCCAGGGCAGCGTTTCGTGGCCCCGTAGGGAGCTCCACCGAAGGCCCCAATGGCGCAGTTCGCGAGAGGAGGGGGAGAGAAGAGGGGAAGAGCGGATGGAGGATGGAGGAGAGATGCGGAGGAGGCGAGCGGAGGGAGGAGTGAAGAGAGGCGCGGAGGAGACGAGAAGAGGGGAGAGAAACGATACTATGACAGTCTGGCAGGCGCGCCGCTAGCCCGACGCCTTTTCTCCTTGTGTTGTGGCTTTCGAAAGCAAGGGCCGATCAAGCTCCCGCTCGCCATAGCGACGTCTGACCCATGCGGCAGGAAGAGCCGATCTATGCTTTTGATGTTGCGAAATGCTATCGTTTTGCCATTGACTGAAGAACGGAGACCAGCGAAAGTCTCTGAGAGACAACCACACCATAAAAGCCAGCATACAACTTACTACACCTATCAAGCTCCCGCTTGCCAGGGCCACGTTTGACCTCTGCGACAGGAAGAGCAGAGCTATGCGCTTGATGTTGCGAAGTGGCGTTGTTGTGCTATTGCTTGAAGAACGAAGAGCCCGCAAAAGTTCCTGAAAGAAATTCCTCTGTATTCCGCCACGAAGGGGACCCTTTTGTATTTTGCAACAAAGGGAATCCTTGTGTATTCCGCCACAAGGGGGGTCCTTCTGTACTCCGACACAAAAGTGATCCTTTTGTGTTCCGCCCCATGGCGTTTTTTTGTATTCCGCGACATAGGGGATCCTTCTGAATTCCGCCACGAAGGAAATCTATGTGTGTTCCACCACAAAAGGAAATCCTTGTGTATTACGCCACCAAGGGAATCCTTCTTCATTCTGCCACAAAAGAAATCGATTCAGATTCCGCCACAAAGGGAATCCGTTTGCATGTCGCCACAAAAGGGGATCCGTTTGCATGTCGCCACAAAGGGAATCCGTCCGTATCCTGCCACAGGAAATCTATCCGTACCCCGCCACGAAGGGAATGATTTTGTCATTGATCGACATGCTGGGCACATTTTTTCTCACCGAGGTGTGGAGCATTTCCAATAAAACAGGTCGTTTCGCTTGTGTGTTCACACAGAATCGGAGATTTCAAATTAAACGTTTTTGCATTGCCGGGCACAGAGAAACCAGAGATTTTAAATGTTGTCCCCCTATGGGCAGTTTACTTTAAATCAAAGCCCTGTGAAAACATGTTTCCTGATATTTTAATTGGAACGAAACATAGAACACGTGGAGTTCCCACAGAGATTTAGACAAATTCATGCAACTCCATTAAACCACTATGAGAACACATTATCCCCTTAACGACGCAAAGAAAACAATATGTTTTAACATTGAAAACAGAACTCAAACACAACATTGTGTTATCACAGTGTTTTCGTATAGTTATGGGGATTCCCTTCAATCTCTTTGCAAACGCCAGTCTTAAACACGTGTTTATGTTTTTTTCCCCCCCGCGACGTTTTCATACACAAACAATAACAACAGTGGGAAACTTGGTAACATCTCAACACTCTTTGTGCTGGGGAAAAACAACACAACCATTCGTTTGATCAGCAATCTTTGGATCCCGGTGAAAACGAAAACGAAACTAGTTGTTTTATTGGAAATGGTTTACATCTGTGTGAAAACACAGGGTTTCCAGCATTTCTACGAATTACAAAAAGGATCCCCTTTGTGGCGGAATACACAAGGATCACCTCTGTGGCGGAATACAAACGGATTCCCTTTTGTGGCGGAATACACAAGGACCCCCTCTGTGGCGGAATACACAGAGATGTTCTTTGTGGTGGAATTCAAAAGTCTTCTGTTACACACGGATTCTTCTTGTGGAGTACAGAAGGATTCCTTCGGTGGCGGAATACAAAACAATTCCCTTCGTGGCGGGCTACAAAAAAGGATCGTTTTTGTTTCGGAATACAACAGTTTTTTCTTTGTGGCGGACTACAAAAAGGATTCTCTTTGTGGCGGAATACAACAGGATATCCTTTGTGGCGGAATGCAAAAGGATTCCCTTTGTGGCGGAATACACATCGATTTCTTTCTGTGGCGGAATACAGAATGATTCCCTTTGTGGCGGAATGCTAAAGGATTCCCTTTGTGGCGGAATACAGAAGGATCCCCTTTGTGGCGGAATGCAAAAAGGATTCCTTCAGTGACGGTGCGAAAGGTTTCCCTCAGTGACGGTGCGAAAGGATTTCTTTCGTGGCCGAATACAAAAATATTTTTTTTTACACGTAAATGCATCGGGAGGGGGCCAACAACACCGCCAGGTGTTTTTGGCACCCTCTAACTTTGAAAGCGACCCGCCCTCCATTTGTGGAACTTCTGTCATTTCTTAAGCTTCAGATTCATAAATGGTGAGGAAGTCTAAGGCGAAACGCCCGACCCGCCCTAAACACTTGTTTCGGAGTGCGACAGGGAGGAGTTATCTATAAGGAGAAGGAATGGGGGAAGAGGAGGAGGAGGAGGAGGAGGAGGAGGAGGAGGAGGAAGAGGAAAAAGAGGAGGGGGATGAGTAGCTGGTTATGCACGTGCCGCCACCCTCCTCCCAGGGCAGGTGCCCGAGGCGGACGTTTATCCATTGCCACCGCCTGGGGGTCGATCTCCCAGGCGGTGGCTATGCCTCCTGTGCCATGGCTCCCCGGTTGCGACCGTTCAGCTCAGTCGCCGCGTTGTTCCCAGAGGTTTGCGGACGTGCCCTGAGGTCGGCCTCTGGAGGGATTCCCAGAGGTTTCCAGAGGCCCCGAAGCATCGCCAATGCCGACCGAAAGTCTCGATTTTCATCGGAGGAGGAATATGAGGAGGAGGAGGAGGAGGAGGAGGAGGAGGAGGAGGAGGAGGAGGAGGAGGAGGGGGAGGAGGAGGAGGAGGTAGACCGAGGAAGTCGAGGAAACAAAAATATGAGGTGGAGGGGGATGAGGACCAGGATGGGTGCGAAGTGGAGCAGTAGCAGCCGTCCCTGGGGCCCCAGGATTCTGGGCGTCTCGTGGCCGTTACAAAATCGGGGCGGCGCGGGAGCACCATCACGCCGCGCCACGGCTGGCACCGCCTCCGTCGGACAGCGGCCCCGCCGCCGCCGCTGCTGCCGCAGTCGTCGTCGTCGTCGTCGTCGTGGTCGTCGTCGTCGTCGTCGTCGTCGACGTCGTCGTCGTCGTCGTGGTCGTCGATTGTCGTCGTCGTCGTCGTCGTCGTCGCTCGTCGTCGTCGTCGTCATCGTCGTCATCGTCGTCGTCGTCGTCGTGGTCGTCGTCGTGGTCGTCGTCGTCGTCGTCGTCGTCGTCGTCGTCACCGCCGTCGTGGTCGTCGTCGTCGTCGTCACCGCCGTCGTGGTCGTCGTCGTCGTCGTCGTCGTCGTCGTCGTCGTCGTCGTGGTCGTGGTCGTGGTCGTCGTCGTCGTGGTGGTCGTCGTCGTCGTCATCCTCCTCCTCCTCCTCGGCATTGGCGGCGCGGCGGCGGCAGCGCTGGCGCTCGCACGCGCGCAGGCGGAGAGGCGGCTGCGGGAGATGCAGCCGCCGAGAGGTTTCGGCGAGTGGGCGGCGTGCGACGCGGGGGCGGTGCTGAGGCGGGTGGCCAAGGCCTCGTCGTTGTACTTCGTCGTCTTCGTCGTCGTCGCTGTCGTGAAGACTCGAGAAGGAGGGGGGTGGGGGAGAAGAGGCGGGGATAAGGAGAGGCGGGGAGGAGGAGGAGGAGGAGGAGGAGGAGGAGGAGGAGGAGGAGGAGGAGGAGGAGGAGGAGGAGGAGGAGGAGGAGGAGGAGGAGGAGGAGGAGGAGGAGGAGGAGGAGGAGGAGGAGGAGGAGGAGGAGGGAGGAGGAGGAGGAGGAGGGGGAGGAGGGGGAGGAGGGGGAGGAGGGGGAGGAGGGGGAGGAGGGGGAGGGAGGGGGAGGAGGAGGAGGAGGGAGGAGGAGGAGGAGGAGGGGAGGAGGAGGAGGAGGAGGAGGAGGAGGAGGAGGAGGAGGAGGAGGAAGGAGAAGAGGAGGAGGAGGAGGAGGAGGAGGAGGAGGAGGAGGAGGGAGGAGGAGGAGGAGGAGGAGGAGGAGGAGGAGGGAGGAGGCGGAGGAGGAGGAGGAGGAGGAGGAGGAGGAGGAGGAGGAGGAGGAGGAGGAGGAGGGGGAGGGGGGAGGGGGAGGAGGAGGAGGAGGAGGAGGAGGAGGAGGAGGAGGAGGAGGAGGAGGAGGAGGAGGAGGAGGAGGAGGAGGAGGAGGAGGATGATGAGGAGGAGGAGGTTGTTCGCTTTACGTCCTCCTGCGGGCCATTGTCACCTCCATCCCCCGTCCCCTCGGACCTCAGCACGCAGACTTTGCGCCCTAGCAGGCCATCTTTCTTTCAATGATTTCTTGGCCTGTTTTCCCACTGCGTTGTGCTGAGGCCTTTTCTTGTGCGTGCCACTTCGCCTAAGTTGGATGTTTTGCTGCCGCGCAGACGCAACAGCTGTACAGCTTGTGTCCGCCCAACGTGAGACACAAGAGGAGGAAACAAGCGGTGAAGGTGAACGGTAACGTCTGGGGTGGAGGAGGAGGAGGGAGGAGGCGGAGAAGCAGGAGGAGGATGAGAGGGGAAGAGAAGAGAAGAGACGAGACGAGAAGAGAAGAGAAGAGAAGAGACGAGAAGAGATGCAGAAAGAGGGAACAGTTGCAGGGGGAGGAGGAGGAGGAGGAGGAGGAGGAGGAGGAGGAGGAGGAGGAGGAGGAGGAGGAGGAGGAGAGCATGGAGGGAGGCGGGTGGGAGGGGGAAGTGAGTAGCGCGATGCTGTTGTGGAGGAGGAGGGAGGGAGGATGAGGTAGAGGATAGAGGAGGAGGGAGGGAGGATGAGGTAGAGGATAGAGGAGGAGGAGGAGGAGGAGGAGGAGGAGGAGGAGAAGGAGGAGGTCGAGGAAGAGGATGAAACCGACAAGGATTACTCAGCTGCATGCGGCAGCTCCCGTCGCAGTCAATCTGCAGTCGTGCCGGCGATGAGCGCTGCAGGGTTGATGCCTCGATGTTGGCTTCTTCAAGCCGAATATCGGTTCGTTGCTGCATGGGTGGTTCCCTTTCGGTGCCACCGACCGCATGCATGCTTCTTCGCCCTCCACGCCGTACTTTGTCTCCTCACTGTGCTGTGCTCGCCCTTGCCTATACGACCGCCCCCTGCTATATTACCGCCTCCTATCCTAGTCCTCCTCTTATTTTTCGTTATCGTTTTTAGGTGTTCCACATCCGTGTCCTCTCTCCTGGTATCGCCCCATTCGCGTGCCATTTGACGCGCATTGAGTACGACCCCATGTAGAGTCCACTCGGAGCAGCATGCCCTTTTTAAATGCTCGTTCGAAATGGATGGGCCCGTTTGTGCTTGCTGGACGCTGTAGATTGCCTGGGTATGTCTCTGTGTGATTTTCACCTGCCCTTTCCAGAGCAGGTGGTCGAACACCGGGGAAGCGTGCCTACTACCGGTGAAACGGGTCTGGCTGGCTTTTGGGGTTGCGCCTGGTTGGAAGCCGCTGCGGCTGCAGTCGCTGAGGCCGAAACTTCAGCACACGGCGTTTCGGTGGGAGCGCCCGCCCGCTCGCGCGCGGGGCCGGATTTTGCACATCCCCTGCCGCGCCCAGAGCGGGCACGTGTTCCTCCCTCCGGCGATCCCCGCGCGGCATCTCGACGGCACCGAGGCTTCGCCCGCTTGGGCGGAGCCCCGCCTCTGACGGCCGGAAGGTCCGCGTCTGCGCCCAGTCGGGGCTGCCCTTTGGAGGCAAAGGTGCGAGGCGCTTGGGCGAGAGCCGCATGTCGCCCACTCGCGCGTGGTCTTGCCGCTGACGATTTGGCGGGCGAATCGTCTGCGCCGCGTCAGGGCGGGAGCACCATGTTCAGCAACAGTACGCTCCGCGCCTTTGAAGCTCGCACCTGCAGACATGGCCCGAGGCCGGATCGAACATCAGCGCCGGCCGGCAGCACATCGTCTATGCAACGTGCACTCCTGTTCTACGGGCAGAACGCACTCACCCGCTCAAGGGGGCCAGAGGACAGTCACGGAGGGGAGCGGGAAGAAGAATTACTGGGAACCGAGTTCCGCTGCCAGCTCGACCAGGCCGTCGGGCCCCGCCCACTGCCGCCTCCCCTCCCGCAGCACACGCGCCACCGCGGGCACAGCTGGACAGCTGGGGACTTCCGGGCGCATCCGGCCTGGGCCAGCGGCGGGCGCTCGCGCTCGCGCGCACGCGGCCCCGCTCCGGCGGCGCAACGAGGGAGCACCGACGCCGCGACCAGGCGGAACGAGGCTTCCAAGGCTTAGTTGCCTCGATACGCCCTTTCTGATACGCAACACGTACCTCAGAGGACGAAAAGGAAAAGGTACCCATGCTGCTGCTTTTCGCCAGTTTTCCCCCTTTTTCGCCCTCCTGGGAGGCCCTCGTCGCCACGGCTGGATTCGCCTCGAAATTTTGGTCAGAACGCACACCGGGAGAGGTCTGGGGAGTAGCGGTATCGGTGCCTCTTGGTTTCCCCACAACGAAGCTTCCAAGTCTTAGTTGTCTCGATACGCCCGTTCCGATACGCAACACGTGCCGTACTCAAAGCGTCCGTGTCCACGCTGCGTGTCGGCTCAGCGTAATTGGCCCACGTTTTGGCGGAGGTATCGCGTCACGCCCACGTTTTCAGTCTGCGTGTTGAGCTCCGTATCAATACGCTACGTGTTGCGTGTTGCGTATCGGGGCAGCTAATTTCCGAAGGCAACCTGGGCTCTGAGGCTCCAGGCTTCCCAACTGAAGGTCCGAGTAGATGCGGTCGGAGAATCGCACCGCATCGCCGATGTATCGGCGATGCGGCTCAAAGTGTAGCCCGACTTTGTCCACGCCGACGGCGCCGATGCGTCGCCGACGTTGCCATGGCATCGCCGATGCTTCGGCGATGCGACGCGATCCTCCGACCCCATGATGGGGTCGGAGGATCGCCGAACAGATGGGCCATCTGCTCGGACCCATCTGGGAGGCCTCTAGAGGCGAATGCGACACTCCGCTCGCTGGGGCGCGACCCTTGTTTTCCGACACATTTGGCGAGGGCAGTGCACGCCGCCGCGTCCGAGTGGGATCGCGAGTTTTGTTTGTGCATTACTCTCCGTTTTCTCGTCCGCATTTCCGATTCCGCCGGAGAAGAAACTGGCATAAACATAAACATTCGAAGGTCTGCGCGGATTCCTCGGATCGGCGCTGGACCCCCCTGGCGGCGCTTCTGACGTCGCCCCTGGCGTGCTCCGCGCGCCAGGGAAGGGGGGTCCAGCACAGATCCGAACAATCTGCGCGGACCTCCGAAATCGTATGCTTATGCAGTGTGTTGTTCCCCCGTTTCGCCTTGGCAAGCGGAGTGTCTGCGCCGCTTGGGCTACACCGGCATTTTAATTTACTCCCTCGGGCACGGACCTTCTTCCGTCTGCGACAGCCGGAGCGCCGCACCTAGGCGGGAACGCTGGCTCTCCCGAAACAGCCGCGTGGGCGTCACGGGGACGAGAACGGCGCCTCGCTCTCGCGCGCGCGATGTGCGCCGCGTCCGGCTCCTGCCGCGCATCTCGTGCCATGGGCGACGAGGCGTCCGTTGTCAGAGGGCAGCGTGCCGTTCGGAGTTTCTGTTGTGTCCTATGGCTGGCAACGGTCCTTCCTTGGGCCCCCAAACCCCTGGGTAAGGGCAGTGATCGTGCACAGGCCCCCCCCCACACGTGCTGGTGATGGGCCTGCTTTCCACCACAGCCACCGCCATGAGTTGACGGGGGGAGGAGAGGGTCCTCCTCCCTTTCTTCTTCCTCCTTCTCTTCCTCCTCCATCTCCTTCCCCCCTCCAGCTTATGGTGGTGGTGGTGGAAAAAACCGGCCCATCGGGCCATCAGCTGGCTCGCGCGCGCACTGACCGTGTCGATCACAGCGCACTTCCGCCCCGACGTGCCACCCCCCGCCCAAGCCCTGACCCTTACCTAGGGTCCAAATCCCCCCCCCCTGCAACGACCTTTAAGGGACATGATAGAACGTATTGCGAAGACCCTGCGGCCGGTGCCGCCGACCTTGGATAGGGGACGACGACGACGACGGCGACGATGACGACGACGTCGCGAGCCCTCGTGTGGGCCCTTGTGGGCGCTGTTGGCATCGGACTCCCCTCCCGGGACCGCCCCCTGCAATCCCCTCCCGGGACCGTCACCTCTGGCGGGGAAGGAATCAAGGGCCTTCCTTCGACTCGATTGGTGTTCCCCCTCTTGCGGCTCTGCGGCTCTCTTGGGCCGTCTTGGTCGGAGAGGTGGGGAGTCAAGAACCCTTGGACCCACCCTGGGAGGGGGGGGGGGCTGGGAGACGTCCCCCCCCCTGGCACGGGAAGAGATCAAAAGGAAGAGACCTCCCATTGAGTCGATTACGACGTCGTTCGATTTTCGTCTGGCTGGCTCGCTTGAGGAGGCGGGCCCAGGGAAAGGGGGAGAGTGGCGACGGCGACTCAAGCGGAGCAACCCTGTCACATACGTCGACAGGGTTTCACGTGGGCAGTATTTGGAGGCCCCGCTCTGGGTCGATGTCGGGTTGGTTGCCCAGGAGGGGAGAAAGGAACACCATCTCAACAAGGCATTGAGGAGAGGGCGACCACGTAGGCGCACCTCGGATGGCGCCAACTATACACCTGCACCGATCCTGGCCAGGCCGATCCTGGGGCCAGCATCGGTGTACATACCTGCCTGCCCAAGTCGGAGGGCGTACATTCGAGTTTGATTAGTAGGTCGACTTCGGTCAAACTCGACTGTAGATACCGGTCATGAGCCCAGGATGAGCCTGGCCAGGATCGAAGCGGGCGTATAGTTGGAGTATTCCTAGCACCTCAGCGTCGGCACCCGACCTTCGCCGCGCACGCGCAGCCACCCCGCCCCCCGCATCCGCGCGAGAGGCGCGCGACGCCTCGAAGGAGGCCAGCGCGGAGGCCATCGTGGCCGAGTGCAAGCTCCGAGTCGCTAGGAACATGGAGCGCCGCGCCGAGGAACCCCGGCAAGCGGAGGGAGGACGGAGGGGAGGAGGCAGGGGGGGAAGGAGAGGAGGGAGGAGAGAGGAGGGGCGAACCCCTTGTCGCGGGGGCTCGAGCTTGGAGGGTTCCGCCGCCGTGCGACAAGTTTCCAAGGGGCGCCTGGACGCATTCGTTTCAGAGAGCTTCTGGTGGAGCACGCGTCAGCTCCTGCTGGAGCTCGGACCTCGGCATTTTCATGGGGCGCGATGGTCGTGTGCGGCAGACATGGACAGACAAGCAGTGGCAGCAGTGGACCGAGAACTGGTCCAAAGACCCGCCCAAGTGGAAGTGTATATCATGCGGGGGCGCAGAGAATGAGTATCGGATGCGCTACAGATCTGACGTCAGTCTGACGTCAGATCTGTAGTTTCTTACCACGAACTGCAGCATCTGACGTCAGATGCTCTTGTTGGACCAGCAACACGCACGACTCTGACGGTCGCTACCGGTCGCTACCGGTCGCGACCGGTAACCGTTACCGCGCAGGACCGGTAGCGACCGGTAGCGACAGGTAACCGTTACCGACTTGGGTACCGAAAACGCAAACGACCGAGACCGCTCACCGTTGCCCAATTTTTCCGGCAACGTATGATCTGGGCAGCGTCGGGGCCCTTGATCCGACGCTGGGGTGCATCATCGCCCCTGCTCCTCGGCGGGGCCACCTTTGCCGCCCTTCTTGTCTTTCTTGCCTCTGTCACCCCGGTTGGCGTTGCGCTCCTCCCGGGCCTTGCGCCTCTCTTTCATGACAGAGACCTCCTTCGACAGTTCCTGAGCGATCCAGTCCTGCAGATCAGGCGCCACGCACACGTTGCCCCGTACTAGGTCTGGGCCGAGGAACAGATGCGAGTCGACCTTCTCCTCAGCGCCCACGATGCGGTCGCGGTAGCGCTCCTCCTGCACCTGCAGGGGTCGCCCGAGCACCTCGAACGCCGCAACTTCGGTGATGTTGATCTGGTCGTAGCAGGCGGCCGTCTCGAGTGCCATGCGCACCCGGAGGTGTTCCTCCACGCCTGACTCCGAGCCCGTGAGCCTCGCCTCCGCTTTCCAGCGGTTGTGACGAGCCACGGGCGACCCGCCGTTGGCGACGATGAACTTGCGCGCCCGTGGCAGGGCGCGGGGGCCGCGGGCCGGCCAGTCCGCGAAGGGCGTGGCAGAGAACGTGGACACAGCCTGGCGGGACTCGCGGAACCTGATGCCCTGCAAGTCGTGGCAGATCGGGGCAACGCGGAGGTCGAAAGCCGACGGCTGGCCAGCCTGCGCCGCCGCCGCGGGCCCAAGCTCCAGGGGCGCGGCAGGCGCGGCCGCGGCCGCGGCACCCGCGGGGGCCGCCGCCGCGGGCGCGAGCGCGCCCAAGGGCGCCGGCGCGGCTCCCGTAGCCGGCGCGGCGGGCGCCGCGCCCGGCGCCTGGGGCACCAAGGCCCTGGCGGCCCTGGCGGCGCGCCGGGGGCCCCGGGCCCGCCGTGGGCCGCGGCCAGGGCGGCGAGCCCGCCGCCGGGCGCGGGCGCCGGCGCGGGCGGCGCGGTGCCGGGCGGCCCTGGCTTGAAGACCGCGATGCGCTCGTGCCAGAGCGTGGGCCCCGGGGCGTTGTAGCGCGCCGCAAAGTTCGAAGTCGCCCTCGTCGAGCCCGCCCGCCGAGGCTGGGAGGCCTACGCCGGCGGCCAGCGGCCTGCCCACGGTGTTCGGGGCGAACTGGGTCACCGGGGCGCCGAAGCCCAGCCGCGCAGCACCCGCGGCCCTCGCCCCGATCAGTCGGGCAGGGAGGGGAAGCGCTCGGAACCTGTGCGCCGGCGCCGGCGCTGCCGCAGCCCCGATGAGCGGGGGCACCCCGCCTTGCATGCCGTTGGGCAGCCGCGCCGCCTCCACGATGTCCGCCGCCAAGCCAGCAGTGTCCTCGTAGTCGTCGTCGTCCGGGGTGGGAACCGTGTACACCCCGGCCCCGCTGGCCGCGAGGGCCATCGCAGCTCAGCGGGGAGCGCGGCGGCGCCTGCCCGGCGCCTGCGGGCAAGCGCCGCGAGCTGCTGGCGCGCCTGCTCCGCGATGGGCTCGCCCTCACAGCCTGCTGCCTCCACCGCTGGTGCGCTGGCACATGGCGTTGCTGGGCCCGACTGGGCCTGGGCAAGGGGTGCGCGTCCAAGAGCGAAACCTGCTATGAAAGGAAACTCCACCACGCCGGCCCGCCGCCCGTGACCCCGCGCGAGTCCTCCGTCACCGCGCGGTCGCCGCAGGCGACGCTCGGGCAGTCGCAGTGGATCGTCGGGCACCCCGGGCAGTCGCAATTGACCACTTGGCGGCAATCAGGGCACGGCGCGCGGCTGGCCCAGGTGACGAGGGCGGCCGGAGAAGCTGTGGACAGAGAGTTGGCCGCCCCTTCAAGAATCACCTTGGCTCCTCCCAAGATGGGCATTGGGGATCAGAGCTTGAGCCAGAACACAAGTACGGCACACTCGTCGGCTGGCAGTTTCCTAATCTTTAAAAAGAGGACATATATGCCGACGTCCGACCCCTCCGGACCAGAAGGGGCTCTCCTGTTAAGTCGCCTAGGAGAGCGTGTTCACTCTGCAAGTTTACTGTTTTGGATTGGTGGCGACTGGAGCGCCCCACCAGCTCTCTTGGGCCGTCTTGGCTGGCCGAGCATGCTTGGATCTAGATCGCTGCCCCTTCAGCACCTACTTGCACGCGTGGTAGGCGGGAATGGAGGATGCTTGAATACCTCGTGATCTCAGAGGCTCTTGCACCTTCGGTTGCGTCGTGTCAAGCGTCGCTCGGATCCCATTTCAAACCTCATCGTCCATTTCGGCTCGTCATGCGAAGCAAACCGATACTGCAGATGGTGACCGCCCTCAAGGCCCCCAGGAAGTTCCCCGGGCAGCGCCCAGTAGGACCCGTTCCAATATTTCCTTTATAACGGCCTCAGTCTATCACTGCGCCCGAACCAGGGTGCCCAGCGGCCCCGCAGGACTTTGACTCTTCTGTTGGGCAATTCATGGGCTTGCTGGAGCACGAGCTCCCTGCCGCTCGCAGCATTCCAGACGCCGGACGATCTCGGTGCACAGGCCGAGGGCGCGGGTTGAAAATCAATGCCGCCCCCGCCCCTCCCCCGGCCACGGGCCCCCGCCCCGTCGCCTGTCCTGCGAGCAGGGGTTGGCGGCGGCGGGGCAATTCTTGTCAGGATCTCGCCCGTTTACGTCCCCAGGAGTCCTTATAGGACATTGTAGGAGCTGCAGCCTTGTTCGCCGGGGTCTTGCTCGCCACCCCCCTCGCCAGGTCCAGCGAAGAGTGGAAAGGAATGTGGTGCCTGGCTCTAGGGCATCTCTCTCGGCGCGATTCAGAGGCACTCGCGAACTTGCGCGAGACGGCCGGGGGCTGCGCCAAGAAGCTAGGGGCCAGGTCTGCCAGCAGTCGCGCTCGACAGCGGATCGGGTTTTATCCAGCAGGCAGCGCGGGCAGGAGGAGGTGAAACTCATCGATGCACCCGGCGTCCTCTTGGCGGGCGCCCCGTGGCCCCTTGCCAAGGCCAGCTTCGTCCTGGGCCAGCGGAACGCAGCGAGCAACGTCTACAGGTGGGAGTCAATGTGGGGCTCGGAGGGCGTCGAGTCAAAGCCTCTGCAGGGCCCTGACAAAGTGTTTGGCGAGCTTCGCGGTTTGCTTCAGTCCCAGCAACGCCCTGTCGGTCATTTCTCACCAGACGAGGCCCGAGGCGCCGCGCGGGAGATGAATGCCTGGTCAGCTCGCGGACTTGATGGATTAGGCCCTCGAGATTTTCCAGTTCCTTTTGATGCATGCCCGGAAGCTCTAAATTTGGTTTGGGCTTGGATGTCGCAGGGTGGTCTTCTACCTGCTCAAAGGGGCTTGGCACTTCAGCCAGCCCTGCCTAATCCTGACGCCGACGGACATCGAATTGCAGCCTGACTCAGCATAACTGTTAGGCCGTGGAGCCGATGCACTAGATAAATCACAGCAGCGCGGGGAAAACAAATATCACCAGCGAAGCTACGCGCGCGGAGAGAAGGGGAACTCGCGCAAGCGAACCGTGTCGGAGCATGCGTTCACAGCAGAACATGCTAGCCTAAATGGTTTCGCAGTTGCCGACCGTTCCTTGACCAAACTAAGAGAATGTGCGTCGCAGGCAGCTGGTCTCCAGAGCATGCGCGTTCGAGTTTTCTTTGTTTCGCTTGCGTCTGCGTCTGGCGATCTACTGCTGCCCCAGAAGAATGTTGTTCCTCGGCTTATGGGTCTCGATGCCCGCAGTGGTGTACTCGACTAATATTGACAGGCTGTGGACATGCAACTACGTGACGTAGAGTGATGCTTATCAGAGAATTAGACGGTCTCTAAGGAATTCAGGAGTTCCCAGGTCGTGACAGGTCGTGGTCTAGATCTGGAAGCCTCACTTCTCGCCACTCACGTCTCAGAAGGGATGGTTACCCAGGAGGAGCTTTTTCAGGGTCGACGCGTTCTGGCGGGGGCTTGCCGGCTGCGTGGTTTTCCAAGGGGAGATAGAAACCACAGGATTGTTGGGTTGCCCTTGGACCAAACTGCACAGGGAGGATCTAGGTTTTGAAAAGGGAGCTGCCAGAAAGGGAGCATGGGGGGCCGGGTGACCACTTCCCCACTCGCTGTCTCCTCCCCGCTCCTTCGAGGCTCTCCCCTGTCCCCAAAACAGTGGACAGGTGGAAGTGGGTTATCCCGCCCCCCGAAGGATTTGTCTGTGGTAAGCTTTGTTCAGGCGGCTCGGTTTTGGAACCGTAGGTTCGGCGCCGCAGTAGAGCGGGCTGGGCCTACCGTGTTGAGCGACGCTTGGGCCATTTTAGCTAGCGCTCATGGTTCTTTGCCGCGCCCGCTCCAAGATATATGCGGTGCCGAACTATATGCGCGCCAAATGGTTTTGGAGGAACACGGGCCCAGTGGAAATCAACCGTGGCGTCGGCTGCCAGTCGTTGGTCGATGTCTGGGCCCGAGGTTTTCATCATTCTGTG